GAAATTCACATGTCATAATTTTAGCAAGTTATGTACTTTTTCAACATGTTTGCTAATTTCAAAAGACGGCCACAAGTTTGCTGCTTCAAAGTAGGCAAAATGCAGTAATTTTACTGGACGGTTCCTAATAATTTTGAGAAGGTTGGAACTGTTGGTTGGTTGATGAGAGGAAAACAGACAATTGGGATTTATTGCGGTCAAATTAATTTTTGTTTTGTTTCTATGTTGCTTTTATTTCCACATGAAATCACGAGGAGACTTTGAGACGTGACAACTCCGCAGGTACTTCCTAGTTTGACGGTGTTTTATTTTCCAATCCAATTCTCTGAGCGGAAATGTGTCCGCTGGAAGTTGGCAACTTGAGGCGGAAGTAGAAACGTGTCTGGTCGACTGTCGTCACTTAGGTCCGCGACATGTATTTAAATCCGGACGCTCAGCCTTCCGGGGTCAGTGTATCGTCATCGACTCACAACGAGAGAATCATGAGTGGCCGTGGAAAGGGAGGCAAGGGACTCGGGAAGGGCGGCGCCAAGCGGCACCGTAAAGTCCTCCGCGATAACATCCAGGGCATCACCAAGCCCGCCATCCGCCGCCTGGCTCGCCGCGGCGGAGTCAAGCGTATCTCCGGCCTGATCTACGAGGAGACCCGCGGCGTGTTGAAGGTGTTCCTGGAGAACGTGATCCGTGACGCCGTGACGTACACGGAGCACGCCAAGAGGAAGACTGTGACCGCCATGGACGTGGTGTACGCCCTGAAGAGGCAGGGCCGCACCCTGTACGGCTTCGGAGGCTAAATCTGACCCGACCACAAACAAACAAAACAAACAACGGCTCTTTTAAGAGCCACCCACACTTCTCAAGACATGCTTCCTCCGTTTTACACTGGTCTATTAACAACACTTGAAATAATCAGATGTGGCTTGTTTGTTTGGACTGACCGGATGCAGGGGCTTTTCATTTCGGGCCGTATCAAAAACCTGAATGTTCTTAAAGGGCCGGTTGTGCCAGAATGTAAAAAACCCACTAAGCTGTTAAAATATCAATGAAGGCTGTTTGTGTCAGTTTCTTCAAATCAAATATTGAACATCTCGTCACACTGACCAGCCCGTCCAGGATTTTGTGAATGCCTGTGGTTTGTTTTTGCTAGTATATGATGCTAAATGTAACTGTTATTACTCGCCATATTGGTCACGGACAATAGCTTGACATCAAGTAGGGCTGAGGCAGCAGTCACTTAACCTTTGTGTCCAGAAATGGGGTCCAACCGACCCCACACACATAAAACTTGTATCATTTGCCTCAGTCCTCTCACGCACAAGGGTTAAACCCAGTGTTTTCAGACAATTTCAAGAAGAATTTTCATTAAGAATCAGGAAATGTGGGGATCTGTTGATTTTGTGTGGATTTTGTATGAATTTTGCAGATTTGTGAATAACTGGAGGGACTAATTGATGTAATCTGGAGCCTAAGGGGCCACATAAAAAGCTGTGGCGGGCCAGATTCGGCCCCCCGGCCTCCAGCTCTAACAGATTTTGTATTCTCTGCCTGATTTCCTGGAGCTCCTCGTGAAATTCTTGAGAAATAAACTTTCTGCCATAAACCTGTTCAATAAACTCACCTGACGTCATTATAACCAACCCTCTACAAAAGCTACATTAACATCATATTTGCATCTGAACATGACTAAATAAATGTAGTTTATGTGTTTTATATCGCATCATGCATGATTTGAGACAAGCTGGAGGCCTAAAAGGCCAGTTTAAGTCAAGAGGCTCCTTGAGATTATTAGTAAAGTCTTGGATTAGCCAGTGGACGTTTTATATATATATTTTTGTATGACTTTAATTTACCATGTCACTGTCTCAGTGAACTTTTGGTTGTGTTTTAGTTTGGCGTAGTGCTGTGACCACGTCAAAGCCAACTGTGAGCCATCAGTAAGAGGAAAATGTGACTTTAGGAAGTGCTTTCAGATGTCGTTATCCGGTGATGTTTAAATATTTCAGCTCTGTTTTATATCAGAGGCGAGCGAGGATACAAATACAGCCGTAAGCGAGTTGAAGCATTTGAGTCCCCAGGTCGGCAATGACGGGTAGAAAGCGGCCGGTGATGAAGTCGTGAACCGGAGAAGCCGAAGCAGGGCTCAGACAACAGAGACGCGACAGCCAACGGCCGCTTGGAGCGCGTGACGAGCTGAGCCAATGAGATCGAGGCGACGGCACAGTGAGATTAGCGTGCAGCCTGCATAAGAGGCGTCCCTGCGCCTGCGCACTTCATTCGCTGTCCCTGTTTCCCAGGAAGTCGTGAGGATGCCCGAACCCGCCAAGTCTGCGCCCAAGAAGGGCTCCAAGAAAGCCGTGACCAAGACGGCCGGCAAAGGAGGCAAGAAGAAGAGAAAGACCAGGAAGGAGAGCTACGCCATCTACGTGTACAAGGTGCTGAAGCAGGTCCACCCCGACACCGGTATCTCGTCCAAGGCCATGAGCATCATGAACTCCTTCGTCAACGACATCTTCGAGCGCATCGCCTCCGAGGCGTCCCGCCTGGCTCACTACAACAAGCGCTCCACCATCACCTCCAGGGAGATCCAGACGGCCGTGCGCCTCCTGCTGCCCGGAGAACTGGCCAAGCACGCCGTGTCCGAGGGCACCAAGGCGGTCACAAAGTACACCAGCTCCAAGTAAACCTGCCGCTTGCCACCAACACAACAACGGCCCTTTTAAGGGCCACACAAATGGACCTAGAGAAAAGCCTGTCTGATCGGAACCTTTGCTTGTGTTCATTTCACTTTAACCGTCTAAAATAAAAGGCTTAAGCCCTTACTGTTTTGCCCTACTTCGGGTGCATAGCAGGTTTCCTGAAGGTGAACAAACTCATTTTATACATCAGATTTTAACCTGGAGAGCTTTATAACTCCAGTGATGTTAAGCTTTGTAAATATTTCTTAGCTCTTGGCGCTTTTTAAATCCGCCCTAAATGAAAGATCTCCAGATGTTGATCCAGTTCTACATATGTTGAAATCAATGTTGTTGTAGTCTTCCTATTGTCATGTTAAATAATGTGATATCCATGCTGAAGCCAGTGTTTCAGTCCAGGTATAACGACATCTAGTCCTGAAAATGCCGCAGCTTGGTTTATTTGCAAGGTTTTAGTGAAGTTCTCCTTGCCTTATTGTTGAGTTCGTTTATAAAAATTAAATGCAGATTTTTAAAGTGGGCGGGTTTGTGTCTTTTAAAGTGACGTAGAGTGAAGCAAGCAGCTGAATTAGGCGGTTAAATCAATTCTGTTTTCCTAATGGATGAAGGAGAGTTTGTTCTTCAGTCCGAGTGGATAATTACTGTGTTTTAACAGCGCCAGTAGGTGGCAGCAATTGCAGCGATTCGTGTTCTCGTTTATTACAGAGGAGGCTCGTTTCCCCTGTCCAGATATAATGCTGTAAATGTTTTACTGAAGTGCATCATGTTGGTGTGTGTAGACAGCTTCGGCTAAATGTCGTCAGTACAAAGCAGGAAGTTTGTCCTTGTCGGCACGTCGGTGGCTCTTAAAAGAGCCGTTGGTTCCGTGTGGAGGCCGGGTGAGTTTTCTTAAGCCCTCTCTCCGCGGATGCGGCGGGCCAGCTGGATGTCTTTGGGCATGATGGTGACCCTCTTGGCGTGGATGGCGCACAGGTTGGTGTCCTCGAAGAGACCCACCAGGTAGGCCTCGCTGGCCTCCTGCAGAGCCATGACGGCGGAGCTCTGGAAGCGCAGGTCGGTCTTGAAGTCCTGGGCGATCTCTCGCACCAGGCGCTGGAAGGGCAGCTTGCGGATGAGCAGCTCGGTGGATTTCTGGTAGCGGCGGATCTCTCGCAGAGCCACGGTACCGGGCCTGTAGCGGTGAGGCTTCTTCACTCCGCCGGTGGCCGGGGCGCTCTTGCGGGCGGCCTTGGTGGCCAGCTGCTTCCTGGGCGCCTTCCCTCCGGTGGACTTACGGGCGGTCTGCTTGGTTCGGGCCATCGCGCTTACTCGCTTTTCTGCTTCACGTTTTGCACTGGTGAACGGATGAATGCTCCGGGCGGGCGGCGGGGCTTTATAAGGACGCTGGGGGCGCGAGGGAGCTTCTGATTGGCTCACATTGCTGACGTAGTGAAACGCAGCGGACTCGGCTATTGGTTAGATTTGAAATTTCAAAATAAAGCGCCATGGAAATCTAACTAACAAAAGAGGAGGCGTTTACAGTTTCAGGGAAAACAAAGTTGGATTTTCGATCGACGGATCCTTATTACAAAATGCTTTGCTTTTTAACTGCAATGCTCAGTATTAAAATGATTGAGGACATCAATCATTATATAATATATGTGCACAATCTCAGTAAAACGGATCCAGATTCATGTCTGTGAAAATTAAATCAGTTCTTTTCATTTCAAAAGGTTCAGTGATCTGGCCAACAGCTAAGAAGTGAATATAAATGAAGACGGGCTCAGTAATCTGATTGTATCAGTACTTTACATGCTCCTCTGTAAAAAAAAAAAAAAAGTAAAAACAATAATTTAATGAAAACTGTTCACTGTGGTGCTGATCCATGGGATGAGTCATAATTTCATCGTGCATGTTACCGTGAGCTGAATGAAAGCAGATCCATTTTTTTGCAATCAAGAGTAAAATCGTTTGTAGGTGAAAATCCCACTAGTTGAACTGGACTGAGTTGCGATAGAGTAAAATGCAACATTGTAAGCAGTTGAACCCAGTGAGAAATGTTACAAATTTGCTACTAATATGTGACAATGTTGGATAAATTTTGTTACATTGTTACTTACATTTAACATCGTCACCTATTTGTAAGATTGCTGCTTCTATACAACATTGTTCCAAGTGCAGCATGGAGTAACTACACAGCGTGAGGAACGATGCCTTAATGCGTGGAGGTGGTGGCTCTGAAAAGAGCCTTTGGTGCATGAAGCAGTGTTGGGGGCAGATGTTCACTTCTTGGCCTTCTTGGCTGCGGGCTTTTTGGCTGGCGCTTTCTTGGCCGCGGGCTTCTTGGCGGCCTTCGGCTTCTTGGCGGCGGCGGCGGCCTTCTTGGGGCTCTTCTTGGGCACCTTTTTGGCGGCCGCGGCGGCTTTCTTGGCCGGGGCCTTCTTCGGGGACTTCTTGGCCGCTGCCGCCGCTTTCTTGGCGGCGGGTTTCTTGGGGGTGCTGGCCTTCTTGGCGGCGGGCTTCTTGGCCTTGGCCGGAGCCTTCTTCTTCACCACCTTCTTGGCCGGCTTGGCCGCTTTGGGCTCCTTCTTGGCGAGCTTGAACGAGCCGGAGGCCCCGGTGCCTTTCGTCTGGCTCAGGGTTCCTCCGGTCACCAGCTTGGTGACGGCCGTGTTGATGCGCTTGTTGGCCTTGGCCACATCCACGCCCTTCCCGGCCAGCACCTTCTTCAGCGCCGCCAGAGAAACTCCCTTGCGCTCCTTCGAGTCGGCCACGGCGGCCACGATCAGCTTGGACAGGCTGGGTCCGTCCTTCTTGGCCCGGGGAGCGGACTTCTTCTTCGGAGCTTTCGCCGGGGCTTTCACCGCTGCTGGAGCTTCTTCTGCCATCTTTCTCACTCAATCTTCCTCTCAACGTGTCCGGCTCAGAGCAGGAGGCGGCACTTATAACATCCATGAGAACCGTGAAGAGACAACTCAGCCCGCGCGCTCTGCTGCTGCCTCAAACATGGCCACACTTGTGTTTTCTCCGCTTCGTTTTACGATCAAAATCACAAACTAATTCAACCCTTGGCACGTGAATCTTAAGGTAACCGGAAGAAAACCCTCCTGTCTGAACACTAACCTCTGGTTTGGTTCGCAGGACTTTCTCTTTTCCTCCCAGGACCCTTCGGACCTGTCACACACGCTGTGATTTTCGGCAGCGAGCGCCGGGTTTTCTACACATTTCGTCTCCTAAAATACATAAAATCGCTTCACACAAACTATAAATCTGTTATTTCCGTTAGCAGAGGCATGTTGGAGCATAGTACAGGTGAAAATATCGCGCTAGAGCCTTTTGTTGGATCGCTACGGGCGAGCTTTTTGCTGCCAGTAAACACACGGACGCTGTCGGTGAATAAGCCGGTCAGGGCTCATTTCTCCGGAGCAGTCCTCTCTTCCTTCACACATTTGGTCAACACGGAGGACTGACTGCGGACTCAAGCCGCTTTCTGAGTCACAAATCTAACAAATCAGTCTTTGCTCTTCCTAAATACCAAATAAAAACAACTGAGTAATCTTACTGCTTAGCTTTTCTTTGTCTGTGATCTGATTGATCACCTTCACTCGCTAAAACAAAACAGTCCATCTATAATTCAACAAGATTTTTTGGGAAATTGTTTATTTTGAGGTCATCATTTTTATTTGTTTTCCCAGAGTTTTCTTTTGGTCTTGCCATTGCGCACAGATTTTTACATTTATTGATTTGATCATGATTCTTTAACCGTTAAAACGAAAACTTTGTGCATTTGTCTTTTATTCTGCTTAAGTGGGATTTTTTTTAAAGCTCATGTTTAATTAGTGACCTTTCTTTAACATTCACATAAAGGTGCATTTCATCCTTTTAGCTGCTTTTCTTAGTGCACATGTGGACAGCGTCATTTGGTTTTTTATTTATGTTGAACATTTTTTTCTTATGTCTCAAACTATGACCTCTGTGTTGCTTTGCCCTCTCCAGAATACCTGCCCGGTTGTCTGTGAACTTATTTCTGCAGCTCTTGCAGTCGATGCCTTATTAAATCTCCTCCGTCGTTCTAACAGTTTGTTTACAGGACTTGCTGAAGTTGTTCTGCATCAACGTCCCTTTGCCTTCGGAAACCTTCCAGGACGTACCGCCGCTCAAAGGCATTTCCACAGCATGATGCTGCCACCACCATGCTTCCCTGTTGCTGCTACTTCTCTGTTTATTTCCAGTATTTGTTGGTCATCAGAAGCGGCCACTTGGATCAACAAGTCCATAAATGAGGCTTTTCTGTTCGGGGGACGACTGTGGATCCTGGAGGCGACGCTTAAAATTAATATACATCACTTTACTAGAATAAAACAATTATTTGCTATTCTAATTTTTGATATCTACATTTTGGCTATGCCAGAATAATTTAAATAAACAGAAATAAACATTGAACTATACCAGTCTCTGTGAGATTAACCAGTGTTTTTTCTTTCCTTTTTGATTTCAAGTACCAAATAAATCAACATCAGGCGATTTTGCCTTCCTGATTAAAATACAGTTCCTGTATGAAGGAGATCTCTCCTGCCCATAACCATCAACATTTACAAAAGAAATCTTTATGAAACTTGAATCATATGAGTCACAACAAAATCGACTTTTCCTTTGGGATCAATACATGTTTTTATTTAATATTTGACTTTATGAACAACCATCTTTGCCAAGTAACCTTTGTGACTGGCCGTCTTACAGCTGGCCATTCTGTGGATCAAAATGTATCATTTTTACAAGAATCCTTTGTTCATTAACTAATGTTTGGGTCTCTATTATGCCAGAATAATCAGAAACAAACGTTCAACTATATCAACGACATGACATTGATCAACACATCAACGTTTTTTAAAATATTTTTTTTTCAATTCAATTACCAAATAAAGCAGCTTTTTCATGCATTATTTTCGCAGCGCTCTAACTGGCCTGACGAAGACAATACCCCTCCTCACCAGTTGGTGGCGGCAGGGCGCCATGAGGTTCACTGTTCAGAAGAAGAAGAATCAGTAGAACCGACAGAGAAACAATGCGAACATTGGTTTGGGGCTGCTGTTAGCTTGTGTGCAGACAGTTTGCTTAGCTTTGCGGCTTGTTTTGCGGCCGTAATGGCGGCTCTTCGCGGCTTCAGGGAGTTTCTGACGCAGCGGCTGGCGGCGGCCGGGGAAGAAGTGCTTTCTGCGTGTGAAGACACCGTGGTTCGGTGTGAGGAGCAGAGCCGTCTTCAGCAGAAGATGATCGATGTTATGAAGTCCGAGTTCGATGCGCAGAGAGCAGGTAGGGAAAATATGTCACGTCTGTTCTTTGGTGATGAACTGAAACCAGAATTTAGTTGGTTTCGGGGCTGAGGTCATCTGTTCCCGCTCCATAATGGGAACAGATTCATTTACCTGCAAGGCTTTCACTGTGTTTATTCCTCTCATCGTGATCAACAAATCACGTGGCTTTGACAACATTTGGTTTCCTTCAGAAGCAGAAAGGAACTCCATAAGAGCTCACCTTCTCCTTCATATTTCTCTCCAATCCCTCCTTGCACGTTAACCTTGCTTGGGGAGTTGCTGAGGAGTACGGTGTGCGTGTTAGGACATTCACAGGAAAACATCAAACCATTGTTTAAACGGCATCAGAATAAAAACAAAGAAAAACCAGCTTCACACTAAAAGGCCTCAGCAGCACCGTTAACGCTAGCTACAGTGAATTAGCGAAACAAAAACAGCAGCACGCTAATGTAGATTATCCTAGAAGATTAGCTTTCCTTCCATGATTAGCTTCACTTTTTAGCTAACCTTCAATAATGTTTTGCCGCCACCCAAACATTTTCCACTCATTGGAAACTACTTTCCCTCTATTTGAGGCTGAACTGTTTTGGTTTGATCAAAGAAATGATACAAAGCTCAAAACAAGTCAATTTTATCATAATCCTCCTGTTCAAAGAGGAACTGCAAAAGCAAAGGAGGTGGATTAGCAGAGATGCTAACAGCTAATCATGTGATCCAGGACCTGTTACTGCGGAATATCGTCTCTGCTGCCTGGATGTCGAGCCGTTAGCGTGTCATGGTGGTCATGAGGCTGTCACACAGCAACAGTCTTCAGTCAGAGGCCTCCTCACAATCAATGCAAGACCGACTGCTATTGGAAATCCTTCCTGCCCACAGCATCACTGTCCACAATAATCTTTGAAGATACTTGAATGACTGAATTTTCTTGTCCCTTTTTTTTAGACCTTCGGGAACAACGTGACATTAAAGAAGAAGAAGAGAAGTTTGTGCCTGATGAGCAGCTTTCTAACGAGGAGAGGAGTCCCACTTCTGATGAGAAGATTATAAAAGAGGAAGAGGATTATCCAGAGGCAACACCCATTAAGGAGGAAGACCAGGAAGTGCCCTGCACCAGCAAACAGGGACAGCAGGTACAGCTGAAGAGTGTGGAGAGTCAGTCTGATCCAGAGTCTCTGAAACCCGACGCCTCCAGGAAGAAGAACCTCTGCAGGGCAAAGGCGAGCTTCTGCGACATTTGTGGCCAGGCTCTAACGAAGCTCGGTTTGGATCGCCACATGAGGACTCACACGGGCAGGAAGCCGCTTTCCTGCAAAAGCTGTGGACAAATCTTCCGGCTCCGTCTGTCTTTGGAAGTCCACATGAGAACCCACGCCGGGACGAAGGCGCACGCTTGCAAGACTTGCGGGAAAACGTTCAGACGAAGCGACCACCTTAAACTCCACACGAGAACCCACGGCGACAAGAAGCTGTACCTCTGCAACGTCTGCGGAAAAAGCATGGCCGACCCGTCGGCTTTCAGGAGGCACGTGACCATCCACACGGACGAGAAACCGCACGCCTGCAAAATCTGCGGCGAGAAGTTCAAACACAGCAACACCCTGCTGTGCCACCGGAGGGCGCACTCGGGCGAGCGGCCGTACGTCTGCCGCTTGTGCGGCAACAAGTTCGTCAACGCCTCGAAGCTGAAGCGACACATGATGTCGCACACGGGCGACAAACCTCACGCCTGCGAGCACTGCGGGAAGAGATTCATCCGCCTGCACCAGATGAAGGATCACGTGAGGAGGCACACCGGGGAGAAACCGTTCGACTGCGACACGTGTGGGAAAAAATTCAGCAGCAGCACCGAACTGAGAGCTCACACCAAAACTCACACAGGTGAGACGTCGCAGACATAGACGAGCTGCTGTCGCTTTGTTGAGAAGGTTTGGATCAGAAACAAAAACTCTGGGCCAATATCGCCATAAAAACATGTTTCTTTGTTTTCACCACCAGTGAAGCAGCTGATCTGACGATTTATAACCTGGAGGTACATCTTTACTGGGTTTATAAAGAATCATTAATAGAATAATCCTCTGATAATGAGATTCAGTCCCATTAGTGAACTGGGATGGTTTTCCTAAGATTTATCTGTATTTTCTTTTCTTTTTCCAGATTGATATTGAAGTTTATATAAATATATAATTAAATACATTGTTTGTTTTTTTGTTTTGTTTTTTTTACTGAAGTTGTCCAGGAGATATTAGTAAACAAACATTTTCAGTTTCATTCTTATAAAATCATAAGAACTAATAATCCAACAATTATGTCTTAAATTTTTTTTTTATGATTTCTGGTAATTTGTGACCCTGACTTTGGGAATTACAGGACTCTACTTCCTGTATATTAATGATGCAAAATAAAAGAAATACTTTTAACATCAGTTTGTTTTCTCTTTACTGAGATGGAGTTTAATATAGTTATTGCTTAAATTTGCAGACAGTAATTCTACTTAATTTCCACTGAATTTGCTTTAGTTTATGACTTCAGTTGTTTATTGCTCAAAAATGTTAAACTAAAATCTGCTTCAGAGGCAATACAAGGAGAAAACCAAGAAATAATCATTTAATCTTTGATATTTTATTGATGATTTGATCAATAAGACAGGCAATAAACACTGGCAGAGAAGTGATGAATTGAGCTGAAACTGGGTCAAATTCTCCTGCAGTTTTCTCATACTTCTCTCTAATATTTGTAAAAAATCCAATTTAATCCTGATGTAAATATTAAAATGGAGAACACAAACAGTTTGAGATTTGATGTTTGATTTGTTTTTATCATTCTTGGTTTTGACCACAAGAGGGCGACTCTGTCTCATATTTTTCTCACTTAAAGCATTAAATAGTAGAGATACTTGAGTGAGGCTGCAGTTTTTCTGTTGGGTTATGAAATTTTTTAAATATTCTGTGGACTTTCTTGGCATCTGATATATGAAAAAGTCAAACCTCAGTTTCGGAGCAGCAGCATCTCATACCTTAAATGTTCCACTTTGCAGGAGTTCAGACATGATGCTCCATCCTCATTATTTAGTTCATTTCAGTGCAGCAACTTTACTCTGAACCATTCACAGATGACTGACTGCCTCACCTTATCAGGAAGCAGTTCTGCCTCTTCTCTCCCTAATCTCGTTCTTTCAGTCTCTGCCTTCGACTCGTGGCCACAGGATGTAGATTGGACTTTGATCATGACGGATGGCTCCAGTCGACATGCTGCCTCCCAAACAGACACGTGGAAACTTTCTGGATCCTAAAAAATCAGGAGAGAAAATGCTCTGAGGGTTTTAAATGTTCATCTTCTGTGGCTGAACCTGAATTTCTTCTATTTTTAGTTTTCTGGAGAAATATGTTGTCAGAGTTCAAGTTGCTTTGTGTCACATTTTGATTTATGACTCAGTTGAAATTTGCACCATGGGGATTTGTTCCTTAAAGCAACCAGTCCGACTCCAAATGCACTTTCTGTTGCTCTTGACCTTTTTCAAGTTCATTTTTACCTTCAAATGGGTTTACAATAGTTTTGGATTTTTCATTATACTTTGGTTTGTTGTGACTTTTTTTGTTAAATTCTTACTTAAACTTAAGTTTTAGAGTGTGTTTGCTAGTTTCTATGAGTTAAATATTTAGTTTTACTTTAATTTTTATTAGATAAATTAGTAGTCCAGTTTTTTCATACTTCAGTTAAATTTTAGGTTCAGAATTCAAACAGGTTGTGATTATGCAGTAATGAACACTCAACAGAAGACACCTTTAAAAAAACGTATTCAACTGAATTTGGTGGAGGGATTTTCACAGCTTTTGCTGCCGCCATTTTTCGGATTAGCGTTTGTGCCGCCAAGAGCAGGAGTGCCGTAATTTGCCACAGTTGACGTAAACTGCTTGTGTCGGGGAAAATCAATGTCACATCGGATCGAAACTCGAAAATGAATGGTATTATACCTATAATTGTAGCATGTTTTCGTTCGTTTGATAAACGCAAGATATAGTTGCAGTTACTTTTTCTCCAGTATATTTTTTATTTATTTCAGTTGTTTCTAAGTTTTAGTTTTTGTCATTTCCTTAGTTTTCGTTAACAACAGCCTTGCTTTAAATACAACCACGTTCAGTAATTTATAGGTTTAGTTTATAAGACTAATAGTGTATTTTGTTAACACGTTGTTCCAGGTTTAATGTGAGGCATTTTAAACCGTTTGAGCTGTTTAGTAAGAAGCTCCAGAGTCTAGTTTAATCACAAGCCAAACACAATCTTTTACACGCAGTGACAAGTTAAAGCTATAAAATCTGCTCCTTTGAAACGACTTTTCCAATAAAACAGCTCCATTCTTCGAGTCGGCCCAACCTTCTCTCTTGTTCCATTATGTTTTATTAAACAAAACACCCACAATCTCATTTTTGCTACATAAAAAATATATTGTGGCCTTTATCGCCTTAAATTATTCAGCGCATCTTGTCACAAACGGAGCCTCAGGACAGAGAAAATGTTCACTCCTGTCACCAGCATGGTACATATGAACGAGTCGCAGTTTTTACGAGCAGCGCAGGACACTGAGCCGCTTCCTGCGGATGAATACTTTTTTTTTTTTTTTTTGGGTGGCTCTGATTGTGGATTAGCATCGAAACTAAACTGGCAACATCCACTGCAAGCAATCCCTGCAGGGCAATTTGAGGGAGCAAGCCGCACACAGTGCAGAGTTCATCCCGGGTTGTTCACAGGCTGTAAAAGGCAGCGGCTGTAATCAGAGAGCACCGTGTTTTCCGCAGCGCAGTAATTCATCAAAGTGACGGCTGCCAATGAGTCTCCGTCAGCCGATCAGTCATTTCTCTACCTGCTCTTTGTTTCACAGCTGTCTGATGAAATGTTTCAGCAGCTGCAGATCCATACGGATGCTTTTTCCTGCACAGTTTGGAGTTTGCTAAAGATAAAAATAAAAGTAAGGAGAAAAAAATAAAAAACAATGAGATCAGCTGAGTTGCCATTAGAATTAGCCAAATTTATCTTTTATTTTATTTCATTTTTTAAGTTTTTCGTTTTGTGTTTTGCACTAGGATGAGATGTAATTCCCAAAACTGCGTTTGGAAACTGTTTTCACTTTACTCCAGTCATGTGATCAACAACCGGATGTTATTACTGGCAGAAACGACGAAGAATACAAGAGGAAGTGGTAGAAGGATGATGGATTGTTTTTGTTTTTTGAGACAATGCAGCTGCCTCCACCAGATCTCTCACAGCATCACACAGTTCATAGAAAGTTGTTCATCATTCCAGCATGTTGAATCCATAACCCTTCTGAATAAGTGTATTCACTCAGTTAGTGTGATTTATTTATTTATTTATTTTTTAATGGAAACATCACAATTGTGAGAATGTGATTTTGTTTTTCGACAGCAGAATATAGATAAAGATTTGTGCACATTTGTAATGAAAACGCAGTTAATGAGTTAAACACGTTTCTTCAGATCTACTCAGATTCAAGACGTTTAATCTTCTGGTGAATCCATTCTTTATTGTTATGCTCAGTTCAGTTAATTTATATATCGCCAATTCACAATAAATGCCAACTTGAGGCACTTTACTAAATTAATCCAAGTTATCAAATGGTACAGTAAGTTAAATTAATTATTCAAAGGAATTAAAAAGTTTCTAAGGAAACTCAGCAGAGCATCGAGTTGTTGACGTCCTCGCTCCTACTGGACGACCAACAGCAGAAAGTCACATGGTGAACCCCAAGGTCCAATTCTAGGACCCTCATATTCAATATTCTCCCACCAGCTCAGGAAATAATATTAGCTGCCATAATCACGCAGCCACAGTTGGTGCCTGTATCATGATTTATTTTGTTTTCATGTTTTTATGATTTAACTCTTTGAATTGCCCTGTTGCTGAAATGTGCTGCACAAATAAACTTTGATTTGAGTTTGAGTTCTGGGTTTCATATTTTAGTTGTTTTCTTTTGTTTAGTTGTAGTTTTTCCATGTGTAGTTCCACTAATCACCTCCTCAGTATTTATGAGCCAGCCAGTTTCTGTCACTCTTTGCCAGATCACTTGCTCTCTCTCTAGTGACCCATTTTGTTCCATTTTTGTTCTGTTACTATTTCTGACTCCAGTTATTCCTAATTTTTAAAAATTATTTCTGTATTGATGTCAATAAATCTTCTCTATATCGTTTTGTTTCGTTTTGTCACAAAGCAGATCAATGACGGCGTTTTTATGCAGTGAGGGAGTTACACGTCCCAATCTGCTGGATCTGGAATAATAACAATGTTAAAATCACTTTTCTGGACATTTGTGTCTATTTTTAAAGCCAAATATATTTTTCAGAGCGGAGCAATAAAGTAAGAGTCTGTGAAAGCACAGGCAGTGGGATGTAAATTAAATAACGCTGAATGGCAGGACGATAATCTGGAGCTATTCAATTCAGAATATTATTTACTGGTTTGTGATGTAATGTTTACTGTAACTGAACATAAGAGGAAAGAATAAAAGTGTATTTCAATAAAAAAAATTGCAGGAATATTTAAGACGAGCTGTTAGTTGATGATTGCTGTTCAGCAGTCAGTTTTTTAGAGCTTCAGCCAGCTGTAGTCGCTCCTTCTTTGATTTATATTTCTCTCTGACAGGATCCCTGATTGGAAAATCGATCGGTAATGGATCAAACAGGTCTGCATTCATCTTCTGTGCAATTATGGAAGCAACAAATTGAGCGACTCTTAAAGTCCATTAAGGAGCACATCAAATATCAGTGCAGCACCAGCGCGGGACTTGTTAGCAGCGCAGCTGGGAGTGATTACTTACATCACAGATATCCATCTCTGGTTGTGTAATGAGATCTTATCAGGTCTGAGGAGGAAAATATTATTGGAAAAAAATGATTGCAGCAGTCAAGATCTCTTGATGAAATGTTGCACTTAACAGATCCGGTTAGCTTTTAAAGGTATTCTTACCTGCTGAACTCTTTTAGTTTTTGTGTTTCTTTCTATAGTACAAACATGTTTGTGTTTTATTCTTCAAAATCCTTAAATTCTGGTTTTCTGTTTCAAACAAAACCAGAAAAATAAGCAGAGGATCCTTTCATTTAGCTTTAATTGAAAGTTTATTGAATAAAAATGAGGGTTAAAAATGACTTTCTGATCCAGGTGAATATGAACATGCATGTTTATTGAATTGTACCA